GCAAGCGCTCTACCACTGAGCCACCTTCCCAGCCCCAGGTATGTATAGTACATGCCTCACTGGAATATTACTCAGGCAGAAAGAAGAATGGGATCATATCATCTGCAGGAAAATTGAGGGAATAGGAGGTCCTTTTAGGTGATGCATGCATGTACGGGCATGTGCGTGCATGCCTGCGTGCGTACACACATCCTGGAACCAGGAAGAGGCCTGCATCCCAACACACAGACCTAAGCGTGGCCCGTGCTCACCTTTGAGGCAATAGTCCAACTCGAAGAGTTCACTGTCTTCCGCCTGCCTCTGCCAATACACTAGATAGTGCGTGATGTTGCCGTTCGGGTCTGAAGGGGGCTTCCACTTCAAGATGATCTGGGACGAGGAATTGGAAACGGAGATGGGGTCCAGAGGGACGGAAGGATCTGCAAGGGGGAAAAGGAGACAGAAACCATGAGGGACAGCTATGGCAGCGCATGCCTGTAATCCCAGCTGGCTCAGGACGCTGAGATGTCAGGATCGTGATTCAAAGCCAGGCCGGGGAAGGAAAACCCTTGACACCCTTATCTCCGAGGAATCAGCAAAAAGGCTGGAAGTGGAGCTGCGGCTCAAGTGGTAGAGGGATAACCTTGAGCAGAAAAAGCTCAAGGACAGTGCCCAGGCTCTGAGTTCAAGTCCCAGGACCGGCACAAATCATCAAGCAAACCAATACCAGCCCGCGTCACGTACTGGTGGCATCTGTCTGTACATAGATGATGTCGCTCTTGGCCCCATAGGTTCGGCGTTCGTCAGAAAAGGTGACCAGAGTTTTGACAAAGATGGCGTACTGGGTCCAGGGTTTGAGGCCCCGCATCAGCCAGCCAGGGTGCTTCTGGGACTTGGCGTCGTTGGATCTTTGGGGTGGGTCAATGTCCACCACGGTCCAGCTGTTGGAGCCACAGGCATCCTGTCCATCAAACTCCGTCACGTTCTGGTAAGGACTTTAAAGAGAGAATGGGAGGAGGGTGGTTAGCACGGAGAGGCCATTGCTCTGAGCACATCCAATGGGCTTCTTGTCTAGCCATCTGTAATACCACATGGAGCCACCAAAGAGAAAGGACCTGTCAGTTATACATAATAATAATCATGAGGCTGTCTGGCTTAATGTTGTTTTGTCTGTCTGTCTGTCCTGGAGCTTGAACTCAGGGCCTGGGCACTGTCCCCTGAGCTTTTTCCCCTCAAGGCTAGCACCCTACCACTTGAGCTCCACTTCTGGTTTTCGGTTGGCTCATTGGAGATAAGAAGGCTGGGAAGGTGGCTCAGTGGTAGAGCGCTTGCCTTGCATGCCTGAGTCCCTGGGTTCAAGAAGTCGCTCAAACTTCCTGGCCTGCCTTTGAACCACCATCCTTTAGATCTCAGCCTCCTGAGTAGCTGGGATTATAGGCATGAGCCACCAGCACTGCCCGGCTCAAAAAACCCTTTTGCTTTACAATCTGTTGGATTTATGCCAGTA